ATCGATGGCATGCCAAAATAGAAAAAACTGCCCTTTAATAATAAGCAGTTTCTAACCCCAGAAACTACAGTTTAAAATTTTATATTCTGAAGATTCCTGAGGGAAAAGAGAACTGCTTTGGAATGCCTTTCATGTTTAGGCAGTCCCTCAAAAAGGGAGGCAACAGAGGGCAGGCATCATGCTTTCACACTTTTTAGTGTTCCAGGCTGCTGCTGGCCAGAGGGTTGGGCTTCTCAGAAATCCTACTCACCCGCTTCACCACTTCTCCGTATGCCTCTGATGCTACCCAGCTCCATTCACAAGCCCGTTTCTCTACCTTCTGCCCTCACCCCCTGCCCCGCTGAGGCTCTCCAGTGCAGGTCTGGTCCCTGCCCTCAGCACTACAGTCAGGGCCTTTGAGCTTGTTTGCAGCTCTGTCTACTGCCCCAGGGTCCTGCTCCCTGGCTGGCTGTGCCTCTGCTTGCAGTTATTGAGACCTAGAGTAAAGGAGACAGCAAGTATGGGGAAGCGTAGTAAATTTGGTTTTGAATCTGCTGTGTTTGAGAGCTGTAAGATTATTAGGCACATATGTCTAGTAAGTTATTGGGCATATGAGAGAAAATGAAGATGTAGGAGGGTGAGAGAGACGAGTTGATGATACAGGATCCCATTAGTGGTCTAAGCGGGCTAAGGCTGGTATGCTGAGAGAGATGGGTTTATCATTTGGAGAGGAGAATAAATCTCTCCTTGGGAGTGGAGTGCAAAGGAAGAGTGCTTTAACAGATCTGCCTGGAAAGTGAAAAGTGAAGTCGCTCAGTCATGTCCGACTCTTTGCGACCCCATGGACTGTAGCCCACCAGGCTCCTCCGTCCATGGGATTTTCCAGGCAAGAGTACTGGAGTGGGTTGCCATTTCCTTCTCCAGGAGATCTTCCTGACCCAGGAGTTGAACCTGGGTCTCCCACATTGTAGGCAGACGCTTTCCCATCTGAGCCACCAAGTCTGCCTGGAGCTGAAAAGAAAGGCAGAAAGGGGGGCCCGGTTCTTGTGTGTCAGGTGAAGGGGACAGGAGCTTTGTCTGAGAGGAGGAAAGTGGGCAGGGCAGCAGGTGGTGAAGCCGTGAATCCCATGAGGTTTGGAGTGAGAAGACTAGGGAGAAGGGGCTGAGTGGGGAAGGAACTGCTGAGCAGGATTAATGACCTACCCTGAACATGGGGATCATCTTTGCGTAAGAGCAACTTTCTCTTCTGGTGTGTGGTTTCCCCAGCTGTGCTGGGCAGCAGGAGTGGCATAAGAGGTGGTCAGCGTTCTGATGGCGAAAAGACTGTGTTGGTAGCTAGTCTTCTTTGGGGCACAGTCTATGGGAAAGTAAAACCAAGTCACTGGATGGATAGGCTGGAGAGAATTGAAATTGCGTTATTGGCCATTTTATCCCAGCTATGAGCACAGCCCTTGGTTTACGAATGTGCTTCATAAATGTTGGTTGAATCAGAGTGTTGGAAGCAAAGAACTGGTTTCGTTGGAATCAGAGGTTGTGATGGGATCTTTGATGGAGCAGGATTTTTACATTTGTTTTGGCTATGGAGTAATTCTTCAGTACATAGGAATGCTGAATATTAATATCAGAGCCACCAGGAAGAAGGCAGGAGACAAAGCGATCCAGGCACCACGGCCTCTGTGAGTCCTTGTGTGACACTGATGATGGTGGCGTGAGAAATAGCCATTATGAGTAGAAGCTGCGAGCCTCAGAGTACAGGGGCTTTTGCATGAGGAAGGGAAGTAGAGAAGAGACCTGATGATCCTGAAGGAATGCTGACCTTGCTTTCTAGGCCCTGGGCGTTAAGGGTTACAGGGGCCAAATGATAGGAAAGCCAGGCTGGAGGAGAAGACAGGGAAGACACTTGGGAAGAGGCTGACAGTGTGAGAGTCTATTTAGTGTAGTGGGGTTCCCAAGATAGGGGACAATACAGGGGGCTGCAGGATTGCTCTTGGCAGGGCACAGGAAGGCTTGTGTCAGAAGGTCAGGCTTGTGTCCTGGAGGTCAGGAGCAGGCTGGCCAATGTCGGGAAGTGCAGTGGGGCATAGTGTGGCCACGCTGGAATCACTGCTGATGTTACTGGGGTCTGCGTTTATCAGAGGGGACCTGTACCAGACTGACAGTTAGATGTGTTATTTAATTATTTTATTTGATCCTCAAAATATGATTGTACTAGCCTCATTTTATAAAAACTGAAACTTGGGAATGATGGTCACACGTCTCATGGTTCCAATCCAGTTCTTGCTGACTTTGCTAAATTTTTTTTTTTCAGGCAGTTGCCTTTCATGTATTGCTTTGCTTAGAGAGAACATGGATATAGGAATATAGTCAATGCGTTTTCTTAATATTAATCAGTAAGTATTGCTGGAAAGCCTGCTCATTCTTGGCCCAGACTTGCTGGGCTGTGGCTCTCTCACGCCCCCTGGTGGCAGTGGCTGAGTATTGCAGAAGGCTCAGGTGAGAGGGAACACTTCTAGCCGAGGAACCATCAAATCACCGATGCGCAGCAGCGAGAACATTTCCTTTGCTATGAACACGGCACTTAACAAATACAACTTCTAACAATTGTCTTTGTATCTGTCTTAACTGTAAAGCAGTGCTTTAATACTTGCATACCCCTATAGCATTCTGGGCACACCTGAATGTCCCAGTGCCCTGATGCTGGGAAAGAAGGCAGCAGAAGAAGGGGACGACAGAGGATGAGATGGTTGGATGGCATCATGAACTCAGTGGACATGGATTTAAGCAAGCTCTGGGAGATGGTGAAGGACAGGGAAGCCTGGTGTGCTGCAGTCCATGGGGTCGCAAAGAGCCGGGCATGACTGAGCAACTGAAGAACAGCAACAGTGGTGTTCTGGGACTTTCAAGCAGAGTGTGAACAGGGAAATCGAGAGAGGGAGTTATAGTCACTGGATTGATCCCTGCTTGCCCATGGGTTAAACACCTCCTGACTCAGTCAGTGCCCAGGTGTCCATCCTGTCTCTTATAATCTGGGAGGTTACTCTTTCCCTCTTTTCTTTCATCTTTGTTATGTCCTATTTTGTTGGTTTTTTTCATTAGCGCGTACCACATTTCAGTATCTCCCATTGAAAAAAAGAAGAAAGATAGGCTTTGAAGGCTCTTCTACCATTACCTAATTACATTCTTTCTAGTTAAGTTTCTTGAAGAATGGTTTCTTGAACCTCTTTCTTACTACTGTTTTCCTAACCCTCTGCCTTTTGGCTTCTGCCAATCTCAGCCTTCACTGGAAGGCGTTGTGACCACTGAATGGGAGAGGGGTGCCCTTCTTATTGAGTCCCAAGGACAGGACAAAGAATATCAGGAAATATAAGACCCCGTTGAGAGTCTTGAAGATGGCATCCATTCTGAATTTCAGCTATTGCTTTGCAGTTTCAGCTGTTTCTTTCATGAACTTCTTTCTAGCAAAAGGGTTGTGTTTGATATTTGATATTGATTGATGCTGATTGGTTCTATTAAGCCACCTATGGAGGCCAGGTATTGATAGAGAATATTGGTGTTCCAGGGACATTTTTCTAGTCATCTCTCTTCCTTTCTGGATTCTGAATCACTTGAGATCCAAAGGTTAGATGGACATCCAAACATTAACTCTATTAGTGGTGAAAGCCGGACTAGAGAATGTAGCATAGATAGTTTATGAAAAATTTGCACCTTGGAATCTACTTGTGAGGTAAGTGGGTCTGTAGATCAGACCTTCATCTGCCAGTCACATACAGGCCCTCAGAGGTTGGCTTTTATCAGCTAGAGAAAACATTGGTGACTAGTCATGGTCTGTAAATTATACATCTCAACTCCTTTGCTCTTCATATCTATCTGCCTCTCTAGGGCTTCTCTGTCGGTGACTGATCCTCAGCAGGATTTCTGAATCCTAGATGGCAGGTTATATAGGAGAGTGGTGGTACTGTTCTGGGCATGAAATAGAGGGTGGCTTACTGGACTGAATTTTTATCCAATTGAAAATTCCTAGGAACAAATGAACAAGCATAACAAAACAGAAATAGAGTCTTGAATGTAGAGAACAAGCAGGTGCTTACCAGAGGAGGGTTTGGGGGAAGAGATAGGTGAGGGAAATTAAGAGGTGCAAACTTCCAGTTGCAAAATTAGAGTCAAGGGTATGAAATTTACAGTGTGGAGGGTATAATCATTAACTAAATAATATTATCTTTGTGGTGACTTTATCATAACTACTTATTGTGGTGATCATTTTGAAATGTATAGGAAAAAAAATCATTGTTGTAAAACAGGAACTAACATAGTGTTGTAGGTCAGTTTTACTTCAAAAACAAACAAACGTACAAACTCATAGAAAAAGAGATCAGATCAGATTTGGTTACCAGAGGAGGGGGACAGGAGGGGAATTGGATAAAAACAATGAAAAGGTATTACAGACTTCCAGTTATAAGATAGGGATGTAATGTACAACCTGATAAATGTAATCAACTGCTGTATGCTATGTATGAATGTTGTTAAGAGAGTAAATCCTGAATTCTCATCACAAGGAAAAATTTTTTTCTGTTTCTTTAATTTTGTATCTATATGAGATGATAGATATTCACTAAACCTACTGTGATAAGCATTTCATGATGTATGTAAGTCAAATCATTATGCTGAAACCATTTTATACAGTGATATATGTCAATTATATCTCAATAAAACTGGAAGAAATAAGTAAAACACACCCCCAAGGCAGTAATCTAATGAGTCATGTAAGAGGCAGCGGTCTGGTGGGGAAACGTCTTAGACTTAGCAGATCTGGCTTCTCACTCTGGCTGCTTTGCGTATATTAAACTTCCCTGGCTTGGTGTCTTTGTTAAAATAAAGGAACATTCTTAAGACTGTTTCTGACCATTTGGATTTAAAAAAAAAATAGCTAGATTATTCCTTAATGACCTAAATCAGTGTGGTCAAGCTGTACTAAGCCCTTTCTGTTATCACAGGTCCAGTTTGTTTATTTCTCCATATTATAGGTTGAATATAAGCTGGGATTCCAAGTAGACAATTTTGTGGCTATGGACATGCCCCAGGTCAACATTTCTGCTCAGGGGGAAGTTCCACGCACTTTATCAGGTGAGTCTCAGTGACAGAGTTTAACATGCTGTTTTTAACTGTATCCCCTGTACCTGGAGGAGGTCATGGCAACCCACTCCAGCATTCTTGCTTGGAGAATGTCATGAACAGAGGAGCCTAGCAGGCTACAGTTTACGGGGTCGCACAAGCATTGGATACGATGCAAGGAACCTAGCACACACCCACACACCCATACCTTCAAAGAACACAGGTGTAAGATGCATAAGTTCTTTAACAAGTGATTTTTGTAAATGAGGATTATTTGGACTTCTTAAACACTTTCTTCTTTTCCATCCCCTTTAGAACTGTGTGCACTCAGCTCTTCTCTCTCTCCTATTATGCGTTGTTGGCCCTGACCCGAATCCCTTTGTCTGGTATGTTTTTCTTCCGTTAGTTCCCACGCTGCAGCCTGGATAATCACTTCCTCAGTGCCCCACCCTCATCGTTAGTTGAGTACCTTCCAGATTCTCCAGCTGGTGCGCGGTGTGTAGCATCTGCCCCTGCCTGTCTGTCTGGCCTGTTGCTGGATCTGCCCCAGTGCTCCAGCAGTGCCAGGCTGCCTGCGATCCTCAGAGCCCAGCCTTTGCCCATGCTGATCTCTGTGTTTGGAACCATCTTTTCATCTTTCCCGCATCTGAATTTCTGTTCATATTAAATATTCTGCAAGACTCAAAGTCTTTACTCGTTTTTTCCCTGCCTCCTCTCCCTCCATTTGTTAACTCTTTTCTTCCTGCCCTGTAAGATCTTGTATTTAACTGTTTAAAATTGATCACATTATTTTGTAATTCTTTGTCCTTGTCTATGCCTGCTAGCCTGTGGTCACCTGAGGGCAGGAGCTGTCTTTTTCAGCTGTCTACCCTTGGCGCCTAGTGTAACACCTGAACAGGATAGGCTCTCAGGACATTCTGAGTAAATGATATGCATCGTTACACCAGTTTGTTTTGAGCCAGTCTTTTGAGAAGGGCTCCTGAAGATGTGAGATTTAAAGAAAATGAAAAGTTTTAAAACTTGAAAGTATACGCCCCAGTGTTATGAAACTTTCTTACTCACTGTTACTAGTAGCATATGTTAATCTAAGCTTTAAGAGAGTATGAGAAGGCTGATTAATTTTTATGGGCTAGTAAAGAAATTCGGAAATGCCAGTATTGTTCATACGCTGATACAGATGGTAGAAGGATGCATTCTAAATTCGTAGAAAGAGTCTTAAACTGAAAGGTTGAAAAAAAAAATGCACCAAAGTCTGTTATCCCATTGCTGTGGTAATTGATTAAAGCAATTTCTGCTTAGAAAGGTTTTTTAATTCATAGGTAAGATTTTATCAGTTTCATTTACAGCTTTATATTTAATCTCCTCCTTAAGAACAATACATAATTGCATTTTGGTGGTGAAATTGTCTTTCCTTTTTATCAAGTAATTTTTGTGGTTACTGTGTTGATTGTGACTGGTAAGATAGTGAAGTTTGCCTTATGACTTTGTAGCTTTACTATATGGTAATAAGAGAATTTAGGAGACAAATTAGTGTATTAAAAATCATGAGCAAATTTTAAAATAATTCTCTTCCTTTGTCTTGATTTGTTCTTTAATGCTAACTTTTATAGTACTTTATATTTAAAGCTGTGTAGTCTAAAGATAAATTCTCTGAAAGTTTTTGCTTAGTATTTTATGTAAATGTATTATTTTTTAGTTTTATTGCAACAGAAATAAATTTGAAATTATGGGGCATTAATGTTGATTTTTAGAAAATTTAAATATTTTTTCTTATTTTTTTTAAACAGTGTTTCGGGTCGAGCTTTCCTGTACTGGCAAAGTAGATTCTGAGGTTATGATACTCATGCAGCTCAACTTGACAGTAAATTCTTCAAAAAACTTTACAGTCTTAAATTTTAAACGAAGGAAAATGTGCTATAAAAGTAAGAAATTTATTTACCAAAGTATGTATTTTATATAGATGTGAGAAGATCAAAAGTAGATTTGTCGTCTTTTTACAGATTTGTGATCCAATCTTGACTGTAGTTGCAAGTAAGAAAAGAGAGCACTAACTGATGAAATTCTGAAATAATCACCATGATAGCTTCTAGTTAGGAATCTCATATAGGCCCCACTCAATCCCTGCTTTCTCAAAACTTTTGTCAGAGTTGGTAAGAATGTTTTCCTTTAGGAATGTGAAATAGCACGAATAGCCAAAGAGGTAAAGAAATCACAGACTTTAGATAGGGGCCCCTGAGTAATGGTGTGTTAACTGTGTTTCCTTTATGAATTACTTTTATACAGAAACATTGCCCTGGGCCCAGAAAAATGTGTTAGAATTACAGCTCTGCCCTTGGTGGGGTATTGGAATAGGTTTCCTTTTATTAACCTAAGTTTCAGAGTTTTTTGTTTTGTTTTTTTTCATCTATAAAATGGCATAGTAACCTGTTTCAAGAGGTAGGTGGGCTGATTTTAGATTAATATACTATCATGAAATTTAAAATACTATATGTGGATACTTAACTAATTGTTGGTAGTTTTTGGCTTTGAATAATCTGTTACTCAAGAAATTGCAGCAGATATGAAAGAGCTTCAGCCCATGAGTTCATAGAGCAAGAATTTTAGAATTCTCCTTAAAGGTTATCTAATCCAACCCACTCACTTTAAGTTCCATAGAGATTAAAGTGATCTGAATTTACCCATCACAGTGGTGGAGCTGGTTAGTATCTAAGGTAGAAAAATAAATACTAAAGAAAACATGCTGAGTTTGGATTTTGCTGAGTGTCAACCATGTTCCAAGTGCTTTACAAACACATTAAACCCATTTAATGCTTATAGCAGCCTGAGGCAGTAGCTTCTCTCATTATCTCCAGTTTCTGAAGAGGAAGCTGAGGCTCAGAGAGTCTGACCAACTTGCCAAGGCCAGATAACTAAGTGGTGGTGGAGCTGGGTTGCAAACCTGCACTTTTGCTTTATTGTCAAACTGTCTCTTAACATATTTCCTAGTCAGAGTTAGGGCTGAGTGTTATGAGAAATCCTGAGGCCAGCAGGTGTTCATTAACCAGAGTTAAAATGGCTAATGTCCAGATATGTGCCAGCAAAAAAGTGGTACTGCATTAGAATGGGCATTTTCTTTTTAGCTCTCATTTAATCTTTTAATTAAGAGTGAACAATTGCTCTCTCTATATATTTTCCCCAGCTTTATTGAGATATAATTGACATATATCATTGTATAAGTTTAAGGTAACAGCATAGTGGTTTGATTTTCATACATTGTGAAATGATTATCGCAGTAAGTTTACTTAGCAGCCATCATTTCGTGTGGGTTTCCCTGACGGCTCAGGTGCTAAAGAATCCACCTGCAATACAGGAGACCCGGGTTCAATCCCTGGACCGGGAAGATCCCCTGGAGAAGGAAATGGAAACCCACTCCAGTATCCTTGCTTGGAAAATCCCATGGATGGAGGAACCTGGCAGGCTACAGTCCTTGGGGTTGCAAACACAACCACTTCATCATTTCATGTAGTTACAATAGAAAGAGAAAGCAAAAAAAGAAAAAAAATTTTTCCGTGTGATGAGAATTTAGTAAATTAGGATTTACTCTCTCAACTCTCAAATAATCATACAGTTAACATATATTGTTGAATAACACATAATGTATGCCATGCATACATTGTATCTGTAGTAATTATCTTGTAATTGGAAGTTTGTACCATTTAACTACCTCCTCTTTCCTCGCACCTGGCCTCTGATAATATCAAATCTAATCTCTTCTCTTATGATTAAAAAATTTAATTCTTGTTCTGAAAATATAAGTGAGATCATGGAGTATCTCATAGTCTTTCTCTGTCTGACTTACTTCACTTAGCATAAGGCCCTCAAAGTCTACCTGTGTTGTTGCAAATGGTAAAATTTTCTTATTTTTTATTTTACTCTGTGTGTGTGTGTGTATTTTCACCACTTCTTTATCCAGAATAGACATTTTTATAATGAAAAGTTAGCCCCGTGTTAGCTTTGGGGTTTTGGTACATTTGTCAGTTCTTGCGTATCCAGTTACGCCCTTTCTTTCATGTGATTTTAAAGCCAAAGTGGACTTTAGATACAGAGTGCAGAGCAGGTGGTTCCTGGTCCCTGGGGAGGCGGTGCTTCAAGGCAGAGTGGTGGCCAGGTGTGATGGAGTCTGCGGAGCACACCAGTACTAGTGCCCACTGAGGTTCAGTGCTCGGCTGATGCTCAGAATGATTGCATACCCTCTCCATTTTCTTTATTATGTACATGAAAACTGTTGATGTAGCTTTCTATTCTGTTTTAGACTTAAGCTTAATATTGAACCAGCCTTTTTGTTTGGTGGTTGTACTTCTGGCCACCCTAATCTTCCAGTTCACATTCATGATTCTTACTTTAGTATGTGATCTTAATATATTTATTTATATGGTTTTCGAACTTAGTACTGTTTGAAAAGTTCTGCAACAGAAAACATACATGTACTGTATTGAATGTTAGTTGGTGGTACTGGCAAGAAAAGTTTCCTTTATCATACGAGGATGGAAACTATTGGTTCAGACAAGTTTCATTATTCTGAAACTCCTCAGTGCCTTTACAGTCTCCTAATGTGGACTATTAGCCTCCACAGAGGTTATAGTATGTAGGTTTTCCCAGACTTCTTGACCACAGAAACCCTTTTTCATTGAGTAAATGTAATTGGCTAATATAGGCATAGACTGTTGATTGATGAATATAGTGATGATTATCAGAATAGTAATGTAGCATTTATCATTTTGCAATAAATACCTTGTTACTTAGTTCAGGGTGTTCTTTTAGAATATAAAACTGGTAGAAAAAATTCAGAAAATTTAATTACAATATATAAGGATTTTCATGGAAAAGAATTTCTAAAGCATCTTTTATCTCCTTTTAAATTCAGAACTTGAAGAAGTAAAAACTTCAGCCTTGGACAAAAACACTAGCAGAACTATTTGTAAGTGTTACTGTATTATCTTTTTCCATCATTAGGGATGAAAAATAATTGATTGCAAATAGACTTGATTTCATGAAGCTTGAAGGTTTTGTGGTTTCCAATTTGCCAAAAGATTAAGTGATGCCATGCTACTTATGTAACTGATGTTTTCCTAGAATGGTATATTTAGATGGAACTATTTGAATATTGAAAATTTTATAAAGTAAAATTTTAAAAAACTTTTATAAGCAAGAATTTATACCATCATTTCAAGTGGCCATAATTAAAGTATGAATGTGAAATATGTATTAAGATCTTCATCTGTTTAACAGAAAGTTAGAAAATCTAATTCATGGCCTGGATGCAGCTCTTGGCTAGTTTCATCCAGATGAAAATACAAGCTGAAAGATCCATGTTTAAACCTACAGAGAGAAACTCAACGTAGGTTTTTATTTTTTGGTAATGGTTCTGAAAGATTGTATAACTTAGACTTCTTTTTCCTTTTCTGATATGGATGTATCATTAAGTCTTACTCTTCCTGAAGCTGTCCTATAGCAGCATCTTAAAATGTTACTCGATTCTCTTTATGGAAGTAAACTAAAAAGAATTGGGGAAGAGAAATTCAAAAATAGAGAAGTCAAGGGAATGTTTTGATAAGCCCCCATGTGACCATCACCCTCTTTAGTAATCATCGATATTTGCCATTCCTTTACTGTTGATTCCTTCCTCTTTCAGACAGGTGGATAGGTAGGGAAGGGTAGAATTTTTTAAAGCACATCCTAGGCATCATGCCATTTCACCTATAAATGTTTCAGTGTAAAGAATTTTTAAAAGCCATTAGTAAACAAGCCACAGTCACCCAACACCTCTTTACCTGTATTTGATTTTTCACATGTAACAAAACTAACTCCTTAATGTCGTCTAAGAGCTAATCCGTGTTCCCAGTAACCTGATTGTCTCAAAGCTGTCTGTGTATAGTTTCTTCCCTGAATCAGGATGCATATGAAGCCTACTTACACTGTATTTGGTTGATATGTATTATATTAATCAGAAACCACCCCTTTCCCTTCACTGTCATTTATTTGTTGAAGAAATTGACTCATTTGTCTAATAGAATTTTCCACATCTGCATATTAATGGTGCCATTTAACATGTTTTTCTCTCTTCTAAATTGGTAGTTAGATTTTGTACTTGGTTAAATTGAATAGTTCTGGATATTTCAAAGTATACCATTTTTAAAGAGAAAATAATGTGAGATTTATCTGCCTTTTAAAAATATTTCATTTGGATTTGTCTTTGAGAAGAAATTAAACTATTTTTTAAAATATCACTACTCCCCAAGCTTACTTTTAAAATTCTGGTGATTTTATCCGTTCCTTTTATGCTTAGGATTATTATTTCTGACAAGGAGAGGAGAGTGGTGTATATCCTCGGTCTCTCCCTTGCTCCCTCTCTCCTCCCGTCCATTTCTTTGTTTTCATCTACCTAACATTTACCAAGACACTATGACACGCCAGGGGTATGATTGAGGCAGAAGATTAAACCGTGAACAAAACAGACTTTGTAAGCCCCCTGGGGCTTCTGATGTGCCACAGGAAATGGATAGGCAATAAGCAGTGATAACAATATCCTGTGGCAGGCTGTGGCATAGCCAGCACAAGGTGCTTTGGGACCCTGAGGAGAAGGGTATGCAACCTCCTGTGAGGAAATGCCGGGCAGCTTCCGGAGGAAAAGTGGCGTCTCATCTGAGACCTGGAGGGTGACCAGGTGGTAGCAGGTGCCATGTCAGTGAGGGAATAGGAGCAGTGCCTACACTAGTCTGGAATTAAAGGTCATCAGGCAGGGTGCATTTGGGCATGTGCCCAGCAGAGCGGTATCCTCTCCTCTGCCCTGGAATGTGCTGAGATGGATGCTGCCAACATCAACCTTTGGGACCTTCCTTTCCCAGCCCTTCAAGATTTAATGGCCCCTGGCATTCTTAAGGGCAGTCCTGCTTTCATTCAGACTGCAGGTCAAGTATAGCTGTTCTAGAAGCCATTTGGTCTCTGCATCAATCTGTGCTGGTTTATTATTTGTTGATTCAAAGTTTAAATTTTAGAAAGCAGTCTAAATTTTGAAAGCTGTCACTTCTATATCGTTTGTCCTGACGTATTCCCATAACTCTGCATTTGTATATCTGTCAGTTTGACATCTCCACATAGACGTGTACAGGTGCTCTTGGACAAAACAAAACTCTTAATTCTCTCTTTCCCCAACCTGCCTTTTTTTCCTCTTTATAAAGGTACGTTATCTACCTAATTCTTTAAGCCAAAGCTTTGATTCCTCTTTTTCTTTCTATCCTGGCATAATCCCTTTAGCAAACCCTGTGGACTCTGCTTCCCTGTCCATGAGCGTCTTACCTTCCCCACAACACCCTTGTCCAGGCCGTGGCTGCTTCTTGCGTGGCGTGCTCTTGCTCCTCCCACAGTATTCTTTATGTAGCATGCAGAGTCATCTTTGTGTTTCTTTTTCTCAAGTATCGTTCTGTGTGTTATTCCTTTGCTTGAAGGCTTGCAGTGACTTCCCGTATCATTTAGGATAAAACTCAAATTCTTCAGTAGAATGCTGATGTGAGTACTCATTAATCTTCAGTTACACCAGTTCCAGTTACATCATTTCTGTTTCTGTTTCTCTGTCTTCCATCCTGCTTGCTCTTATCATGTGGATCTTTGTTTCTGTGTCTTTCTCTGTTGCTGCTGTGTGTATGTGTGTGCATGTATCTCTGTGTCTTTAAATTATTTCCTCTGTTGCTGAGGCTTTCTTTTTGAATAACTTTAAGATGAACATTATTTCATGAGTAGAGTCTTGTTTTCCTGCTTTTATTTTTAAAAACAGATAGGCAAAATAATTTAACTCTCAAGAGAAAAAGATGAAACAAGTTTGTTTGTTTTACCTCATGGGTTGCCCTGCTGTATATTCCTCGTCCTTTGAGGAGTGGTCATTGGCAAAAAAGATGTCTCGTCTCTCACAGCAGACGCCACTGTCGAGGAAGGGTCTGTAGAGCTTGCTGTCCAGTATGGTAATTACTAGCCATATCTGACTATTTAACTTTAAATTAATGAAAATGAAGTAGAATTACAACTTCAGTTCTTGCATTGTACTAGCTCCATTTCAAGTGCTCAGTAGCCTCAGGTGGCCAGTGGCTGCGGTACTGCATGGCACGCTGCAGAACCTTTCCCTGTCGGACAGCATGACTATAGATAGATGGTTTATGATGTGTATGCCAGTTGTGAATTGTACTAACTAACCAGAAGTTATATGTAAAAACCCTTTTGAAACTACAACAAAAGCACTTTTAAATTGTATGAATTTATAGTAACACACTACTGGTAACCGAACTTATCAGAAAATGGACACGTGAAATGAAGATCTCTTTTACAAAGAACAGGATACTCATTGTGTATAGTGGGTCACAAAGCAATTGATGACATTTGTTTCAAAAGCTTAATGTGCTATTCATTTTTATTTCAGATGATCCTGTACACGCAGCGCCAACCACTTCTACGCGTGTGTTTTATATCAGCGTAGGGGTTTGCTGTGCAGTAATATTTCTTGTAGCAATAATATTAGCTGTTTTGCACCTTCATAGTATGAAAAGGATTGAACTGGATGACAGGTATCGTACATCTTTGGGGAAAGGAAAAAAATTTTATTTTTTATATGCAGTCATTTGCATATACATGGGAGCCTACCCACACCTGTGCTCAGCAGTGCACAGTGGTGCAGGGGAAGAAGGGAGGGTGATTAAGCCCTGGCCAAAGGACAAATACCGTCTTTATGTTTCTCTGTAGTTTTATTTTTAAAAATTAGTAAAATAAGAAATTACAGTTTATTAGTTGGTGAAAAAGTAGAGATCAATTTTTTTTCTATCCCCTTTGACATGACTGTCTTCTAGACTTCTAGTGCCTTATTGGAATAGCCCTGCTTTTTCCTCCTCACTCGTCTCTCCGTCATTATCCGTCCATTCATCCATCCAGTTTATTAACATTTATTGAGAACCTGCTATGATTTAAATCATTAGTTCTCAACCTGGTTGCCTACTGGAGTCATGGGCAAATTTTTAAAATATATCAACACCCCTTCCAAAAATTCTGATGTTGGTCTAGGGTGGTGTTTGGGTGTTCAGTATTTTTTTTTTTTAATTAAAGCTTCCCTGGAGACTCTAATGTGTAGCCTTTGAGATACACTGTGATGGTTATTAAGCTAAGTGCTAGGAATAAAAAAGTAATGATATACTATCATGGCTTCAAGTATCTAATCTTTGACATTAACCATATTTATACAAGTATATAAATTTGATCATATGTATTACAGTGTGGGAATATAGCAGCTTGTCCCAGCCTGGGTGAGTCAGGATGACTAGAAGTACGTTGTAGACAGGATAGGGTGAGAGGTAAGAATGAAATGATAGATGAGTTTATTTTCCTAGTCCACAGTTCTTGTTTCCCTCTTGATTCCCGCTTGCTGACTGTAGACGTTCTCAGCTTTGTGACTTGGCTTTCAAGGTGTCCTCCTTTAAATTGTGGAGATAGGCATCCCTTCCTCTTTGAACTTGCCTCTCATGCTCCAGTCACGTAATTACTTGTTCCTCACCTTTGCTCTGCTCTTTGCCCTCCAGGACTTTTGTTCATGCCTTCTTTTGTTCCCCGTATTTGCTGTGAATTCAGTCCCTCTCCACTCTCCACATTTCAGCTCCATCGCCATTTCTCTCATGAACTCTTTCTTAAGCCCCCCCAGCCATCAATTTCTCCCTCCTCTTTTTGTCTCTTTCTTTCTCTGTTTCTCTTTTTCTCTTTGTTTGGTAGCAATTACTGTACCTTTTCCTTATGTACTTGTCTTTCCTGCTCGAATGTAGGCTTTTTTCAGTCAGGAAGCATTGCATCTTACTGCTGATTCCCCAGTCCTATGTGGGGTCATACATATAGTGGGGTAAGCACGTGGAAATGGGGGAGGCTGGTTGGATTAATTCCTGCCCCTAAGTACTCTCTGTCCCCTCTGTTACACTTTTTTTATCTGAGCAGAGAAAGAAGAGAAAGGAGGTCAGAGTAAGAAAAGAAACACATGGGTGAGGTGTTTCAGAATACGTTTTGTGTGTATGATTGTGTTCATTAGATTTGGGTTTTGTAGAGAAGGAGCAAAGCTGGTCATGAGGTAACAGGAACATTTTGTTGGACCTCTTGAGAGAGGGTATGGCAGAGTTAAAGGTCACTGGGAGGCATAGCATTTCAGAGTTAGTCTTGATAAACACATTCTTCTTGAGGGTTTGCTTGTGTGTGAGGGCTCTGAACCATGTACAGCCAGGTCAGAGTTGTACAAAAACTTAAGAATCCGTGGGGCTTATACCTTTGCTGCTGAAATAATTCGTTACTACCCATTAATTGGTGTTCCAGTTCTCTCTAGTTTTTTGACAATGATTTCCAGATGATGCCTGATGAGAAGCATCTTTCATCATCACTTGTTTTCAGGGTACAGCCTAGTGGTTGAGAGCATGGACTGGAGCTAGCACACCTCTGAATTCTTGTTGTGCTACTTGCTAACTTTGTGGCCCAGAGGAAGTTTTGTAGCCTTTTTATGTCTTGGTTCTCCTTATCTCTAAAGCAGAGATTATCATGGCACGTACTTAGTAAGCATGTTGTTAAGTTCTAGTGAAATAAAACTGTAAGCTCTTAGAACAAGCCCTGCATATAGTAAGTGCCATTATTAGGCTTTTTCTTTTCAGAAAGTTGCAGTGTACTGGTAATAATGGATTGATTTCTTCTTCGACTCTTGCCTGTTCTACTGCTGCTGCTAAATCGCTTCAGTCGTATCTGACTCTGTGCGACCCCATAGACGGCAGCCCACCAGGCTCCCCGGTCCCTGGGATTCTTCAGGCAAGAATACTGGAGTGGGTTGCCATTTCCTTCTCCAATGCATGAAAGTGAAAAGTGAAAGTGAAGTTGCTCAGTTGTGTCTGACTCCTAGCGACCCGATGGACTACAGCCTACCAGGCCCCTCCATCCATGGGATTTTCTAGGCAAGAGTACTAGAGTGGGTTGCCATTGCCTTCTCTGCCTTTTCTACTAGCCGTTACTTATTACTTGACAGCAAGCTAACAGTGGTGACTAAAAAGTTCCCATGTAGTAATCTAATAGTATTTGAGGCACTTGCTTCTTCTCTTTGCATTGGGGCCTGTGAGATAACAATGACTACCACTTCATCAAGTGTTGTCTGCTAGTACTAAACCAGGCTCTATATGTGTAGTAGTTTATCTGATGCTCACAGCCACTTATGGGTGTGATGCTGTCCTTGTTTTAAAGATGAAGAAACAGGCTTGAAGAGGTTAAATAACTTTTTCAGGGTTGTGCTGCTAGAACCAGAGCAGACAACAGGAAGGGCTCGTCGTTGCAGTGAAAGACGCTCAGTTGCGTCTGAGTCTTTGCGATCCCATGGACTGCAGCCCACCAGGCTCCTCTGTCCATGGGATTCTCCAGGCAAGAATACTGGAGTGAGTTGCCATTTCCTCCTCCAGGGGAGCTTCCCAACCCGGGGATCAAACTCTGGTCTCCTACTTTGCAGGTAGATTCTTTACTCTCTTGAGCTGTAAGGGAAGGCCAGTTGTTGTAATAGCTGTATTTTAGCAACTCAGTATTGTAATTGTGTAAAGCACTTATATTTGGTTTCCCTTGTGGCTCAGATGGTAACGAAACTGCCTGCAGTGCAGGAGATCTGGGTTCAATCTGCGGGTTGGGAAGCTCCCCTGGAGAAGGGAATGGCAGCCCTCTCCAGCATTCTTGTCTGGAGAATTGCATGGACAGAGGAGCCTGGCAGGTTACAGTCCATGGGGTCACAAAGGGTCAGACACAGCTGAGCAACTAACACTTTCACTTCTTTTTTCACTTGTTATATGCCAGGCACTGTTCCATGTGCTTTATATCCATTAATTCCCTTAGTCTTGACAACAACCCTGTGAGGTTTGTTGGAGCCCATGGCTGCACGGAGTTCTTGCACAGGGGTGGTAGCGAGTTCTTCCTTTCCTGACGCCCAGGAGCCAGGGTCTCGTTCTGCACAGCTCGTTTAGAGGCAGAGACCGAAACTGCTTAAGGGGTACTCTGCCAGCGGCAGAGCAGTTGGAGCCCATGTGTGCGACTTGCCCTCTGCTGACAGTACAAGCTCATCTTTTCTCTCTGTGCTGTGCCAGGGCAGTGTGTTCTGGAGAAGCAGAGCTTCTGTGAAGTCTGTGCACAGAGGGGCTGGCCTCTGCCCTCTCTGCCCCATAGTCTTTCCCTGTTGGCTCTTGAATGCAGGAGAACTCACTCCTCTGTGGGGCACTTGAACTTGTTGTTTGGCGATATCTTCATTTTCCATTATCTCATTACTGGTGACGAGGCCGTTTTATTTCCCTTTATTCATTTCTGTGTCTGGTGTCTAATAGCTATCACTGAGTGAATATTGCGTGAAGAATTTGTTGAAGGAGGAATGAGTGGAGAGAGGCAGGAAGCCATTCTGTTAGAGCAGTAATTCTTTGCCTCTTTTGTTACGTATCAATAGCTCATATCAGAAGCAACCATTCTGTGTGCTTTCTAGCTTTCTATATGAAGAAAGTGTGTTTTTCTCTGTTTGTTTATTGGTTGATCCAATAAGTATTAATTGAGCTCTCACTAAGGCTCAGTTGGGCCCACTTGAGGCCTCTTGGGTCAGGCCTTGGCTTTAGTTTTGGGGAGGAAGGAGTGAACAAACAGGTAGTTTTCCTGCTTTTATGGAGTTTATAGTCTGCTATAACAGATATTAAACCAGAAATCCCTGCTAGAATGTAGGCTTCATGAAAGTAGGGATCTTTGTTTATTGTGTTCACTACTGTATCACCAGCACTTGGCACAGTTTCTGGCATGTAATATACACTTAGTAAATAGTGTTGAATGAATAAATGAATTACATGTATAAATATAAATTATAACAAGTGCTTTGAAAGAAAATGATGATCTTTGCCCTAAATTCTAACTTTAACTCTATAGCAGAGTTAATATCTGCTAATCTTACTTGCTTATGAAAATTAAATGAGATAATTTATTTAGACTGGTATTAAACTATTAAGTGCAAGCAAATGTACATTTTTATCTCACTTTTTACCTCATGTGCTGTAGCTATGTAAATACTGATTTTAATAGGTAACAAGGGTTGATCCTCAAATGCGCCATCCTTCTCTCATAAATCTGGGATTTCAAACGTTTGTTCTGGCCGCTTGACATAGTGCTTTGCTCATTGAAGGGACCACTGAACATCGTTGCACGCCCAGGCTTTTCAAGAATTCTAAGGTGGTACAAGAGTGCCACCTGCTGTTGAATTGCTGAAGAGAACCTCGGTAACTAGTAAATACTTTGGGATCTGTGCATATTTATTCAGTCATCAGTGTAGGTTGCAGGTAATATTTAAATTGTACTTTCCACATATATTATGTAACTTGAGCCTCCCCTAGATCCTGGGATGTGGGTTTTCTTAATCCCATTTTATGGGTAAGATTTGTATTCTATTATTTCCTCCATCTTTGGGAATGATAATGCTTCTCTTCCCTCCCAGGATTATTGAATCCTGGACTTCTACAGTTTTAATTTCTGATATGATCTTTGAGTCGTGCTCAAAACTCCAAAAACGGGTGCCCTGTGGTTCTAAGGATTAGGGATGGTAATATTAGTAATAATTGAATATAAATAGTAATAATAATTTATAAATGTATATTTGAGGGCAGGGCACTGATGTAAAAGGATTATATTTTTCATGTAATTATTTTAGCAACCTTTTCAGGAGGTAGTATTATTGTCATTTTATCCATCAGGAATTTGAGGCTCCAAAAGCACTATTTTGCCTAAGGTCATAAAGCTAGTTAATAAATGGTGGCGCTGGAAGTTTTGATTTCAGGGTTATACTTTCCATCTCTTCACTGTGCTATCCTGTACCTACTGTACATGTAGACCTATATAGATCAATTTTTGAGTAGCAGCTTTTTGTCATTATGTGTATTTTTAATCATTGGGCTTTGAAAATATAGAACTATTGTGTGGGATGTGGTCATTCAAAAGATTTTCATATTTTGGAAAGTTTGGAGTCTCTGATTGGACTCTGCTGATCCTGCAGGTAAGGGAGACATGGAAGGTAGCCCTTCCTTCTTGAGGGTATGACATCTTGCCTCTCATTCACACTTCATGCTGAATTTCTATGCTTTACTTCTCCACTGCTGCAGAATTACTAGACTGAGGCAGTGTAACTAGAATGTGATCGAGAGTGACCTGAGATAAGGTGGTTGTCCGCTGACAAGATGAAAAGGACATTGATTTGTAGTAATCTTGAGTATGAAGTTATTTGAGCCTACCATCTTCTGGGTCTCTTGATTACTTAAAAAAATATGGCATAATAAAATGCTTCAAATGCTAACGATTTCTAATAAGTTCTAGAAATTCCAAAAAGGTGGGATTAGGGAAGTAGAAGAAGCAAAATGTATTTGATTAAACAGACTTGAACCAGGTGGGATATCCCTTCCCAGGCTTTGAGCGTGTTTGATTTGCTTTCATATGCCATCATCTGTAGGCCATTTGATTATGGACCATCATTAAAAGAATCCTGTCTTTATACTCCTTTTCTTAAAAGTGATCTAAATGGAGTGGCATGAGCTCTTTACTAAGTGTTGGTCCACAGTTCCCTAACATATTGTATGAGGTTCAAGACTGCTATCTATGGTATTTGAAGAATGCTACATTTGTGAACGACTTTGATGTGATGAGTTACCTGATTGTGGAGATAGAAAGGAAAGGAAAAGAATAGAGCTCTGCATTATGAGGTAGAGTAAAATTTCAGTATGAAACATTTGTGATGGAGATCCATGCATTATTGTGATCTCTGTTAAGGTTTTAAGCTGGTTATAATGACTTCATGCATTTTGTGTGTATTGAAAAAGGAAATGTCTCATTGAAGCTGACTTGCCAAGTATTTCTCTTTTAAAAATTATTTGCAGCATCAGTGCCAGCAGTAGTTCCCAAGGGCTGTCTCAGCCATCTACCCAGACGACTCAGTATTTGAGAGCCGACACACCCAACAATGCAACTCCTATTACCAGTAAGAGTTAATTTAATTCTGAAAGTTAAAGATGATTTACTAAAGTTGTTTATGGTCTGTCTGTCCTTGGTCCTGTGTGGTTAATTACTTATGGGACATATGCCATGCTACATTCATAGAATCTAACATGTACAGAATTAGGCTTAAACTTTTGTTTTCTAGAACACTGAATGAAACATTCCAAAATTAGTGTATTAAAGTTTTAGGTTTAGTTGTTAGAATTAGTTTTAGAGAGGTTTCTATAGATTATGTTAAAAGGGCTACTGAATCACTTCTGTACAAATTCAAAAGGAGGATTTTCAGTTAGTTAGAATAAGCCACTGAGCTGTGTGAAGACAGAGACTTGGATTTTAATGAATTATTTGATGGTCTCATGGGCTGTGGTAAGGACTTTACATTGTTTTCTGATCATGGTGGAAAACTAGCTGCCATTGGAGATCTAATTTCCATTTTTTGAACAGGATTTTAATGAAGGTTTTTATACTGTAGCTGTTCAGGGGAAAATAACCATTCTTGGGGTATAATTTAGACATAATGAGGATTGAGCAGTGTCATTCACCAAACAAGAAACAACACAATCATCAGGATAGACAGTGGGCCACAAGTCAGGACTCAACTCACTGGTGCCATTGATTAATAAGGTTCTTGTAGGCAAGTTACCTTTATTTCCCTTGGACTGACATTTACTTTCTGCTAGTGCTAAGTCCGGAGAAGGCAATGGCACCCCACTCCAGTACTCTTGCCTGGACAATCCCATGGATGGAGGAGCCTGGTGGGCTGTAGTCCATGGGGTCGTGAAGAGTCAGACACGGCTGAGCGACTTCACTTTCACTTTTCACTTTTATGCATTGAAGGAAATGGCAACCCACTTCAGTGTTCTTGCTTGGAGAATCCCAGGGATGGGGTCGCACAGAGTCGGACACGACTGAAGTGAAGTCCGACTCTGTGCGACCGCATAGATGGCAGCCCACCAGGCTCTCCCGTCCCTGGGATTCTCCAGGCAAGAATACTGGAGAATACTGGAGTGGGTTGCCATTTCCTTCTCCAATGCATGAAAGTAAAAAATGAAAGTGAAGTCACTCAGTCGTGTCCGACTCTTAGCGACCCCATGGACTGCAGCCTACCAGGCTCCTCCGTCCATGGGATTTTCCAGGCAAGAGTACTGGAGTGGGGTGCCATTGCCTTCTCCGACGTTAACTTTCTAGTAAACTAAAATTAAGAATATCAGTTCTTGGACTTCCCTGGTGGTCCAGTGGTTAAGAATCTGCCTGCCAGTACAGGGGACACAAGTTTGATCCCTGGACTGGGAAGATCCTACAGGCTGCAAAGCACCTAAGCCCGTGGACTACAACTCCTGAGCCTGCATGCTGCAGAATACTGAAGCCCGCGTGCCTTAGAGCCTGTGCTCCACAACCAGAGGAGCCGCCACAGTGAGAAGCCATGCACTGCATCTAGAGAGCAGCTCCTGCACACCACAGTTAGAGACAAGGCCAGGCACAGCAATCAAGACCCAGCACAGCCCCCAAATAAACAGATGATCCTAGGAGTGAATGCAAAATGTAAAGTCAATTAAAAAATGATGAACAACGTTACTTAAAAAATAAGAATATCTATTCTTCACCCAGTGCCCTCCTATGGTCTTTCAGTATTGTTTCTCATTAAGAAGAATCAGGATTCTTTGGAGAAATGGATGATCTCAGGACTGGGTCAGGAATAAGTAAGATAACCTGGGACATTTGCTGAGCCAAAAATCAAGGAAACTACTAAAGACAAGAGCTTTCCAAAATGGAACCATTGAGCATCAAAAAGAATAATGACTGCAGTAGATTGAAGTGATATAAATGTGAAATGTAGAAATGTGTAAAAATCCACAAATTTGTAGTGATACTTTTTAAAATAAAGTTCATTATGGGAGTTAACGGAGGCACCAATAATACCTTACTCTGACAGCGGAGCATGAACTATTTTGCAGTAACCAGATAGTGCTGGCTTATGAAGCGAACATGTTTTTTTTTTTTTTTACAGAAGAATCCCAGCTAATAAATGCAGAAGGAATGATAGAATCATAAAATCATACTTATATCCCCTAATAAAATACTTCATTCAGGAAAAGATTATCAGTGTTTTAAACTATACAAACAAAGGGAGGAAGGGAGCTTTACCATTTGAGGGATCATAGTGTCACTGCCTGAATCTGCTACTGAAACTTAGCATCATTAAAAGTAGGATAGCTAGTTAGTTTGTATTCCCAGGTGGAATATTCTTGTTGTCTTCCCCCGCAGAGAGTTAACCTGGATCTAATCAAGGCTCTAAGACTGATTTTCAGTTTACAGGGATAGAGGGACCAGTTAGATGTCACTGGAAGAGTCAGATGCTGGACTTTCTTCAGGATAGTTGATCTAGTTTCTTTAGTAAGATGTGGCAAGAAAAACGAAAGGGGAAAGAAGGGGCATTGTAGCTTAAAAGAAATCTAAGAGAAATCATAGCAGCAGTTAACATCTCTACCGAGGAAAGAAAGATATATGTTCCTCAGGATATATAATGATAGATGTGAGGGTAGTTCAAACTATTCCTAAGAAACACATCATTGCTTTAAATGTTTAGCTTTGCTCATTAGAGTCATTTCTTGATTGTGGATATAACCTTAAAGAGATAGATAAGCAAATTATTATATATGCTGAAAGCAAAATGCATCTTAAAAAGTCAGTGGAAGTGCAGTTATTTTTTGACAGATTTTTAAATTTACCACCAATAAGTTTACTTGTTTTTGTAGACATTACCTTAAGGAGATAGGTATTTCATTTCTTAATGTATGATACAAAATAAATAGTGTTTTTTTTAAAAAAAACCAGCATAAATATATTTGCCTATAAATAAAAAAAGAGAAAGGAGCAGAAAAAAATACTTGAAGATAAAGGAGCCAGGAGTTTTCAAAAATAACAAAACACAATAGTATACAGATGGAAGAAACTCAGAGAACTCCAGGAAGGATTAAACACTCATATATACTAGACATACACACACACACACACACACACACCCCTAGATGTATCATGGTCAAATTGTTGATCAGTGGGATCAGGTTTTATCATCCTAATCCATCTTTTTTAATAAAGTTTTTCAAAGCTTTTCATGTAGTTCTTCCAGCAGCCACTGATAATCATTGTCTGAGTCCACCCTTTCTTTCGGGATTTTTCTTCCCTAAAATACCATTCCAGTTTCTGCTTGCTGGTGACACTAGATCTTCCTTTTATTCTAACTTTTTTTGTTGCAATGAGAATTTTAATTTATGTCCCGAAATTTTGTTTTGCTATCATCATATTAAGAATGAATATGAATTAAGGGAACTGAAAAATGAATATGGATCTCACAGTGGTATGACTAGGCTGTATGGATGCTAGAATGATTAAACCAATTATATATATATATATATATATTTTTTTTATTAAGAAAAGATATTTTCACAAACATTTCATTTGAAAAGTTTTTTTGTTAGGAGACTATATTAGAAAATCTTTGGAGAAAAAGCAGTTCATTCAAGGGATTAGATTAATTCCATGAGTCAAAGCTTGTTTCATTTGGCAGAAAAGCAATTGAAGTGGTATTAATAAAATATTATTTTTAGTGTTTCCTGTTTTAATTCTGCATTTTAAGGTTTTGAGGTAGGTGGGAAAGTGTTTCTTTAAAATTTAGTATGGCCTTCATAAATAATTCTCCCTGTGTGTGCCTTTTTCGTTTTTGATTCTCACCTTCCTGTGTTCCTGTGACTTGACTCCTGGGGTCATAACTGAACTAGTTGATCCTGATGCCGTAAGAAGGTATTTATATTTCTTGGTTTGGCTTTGTTGGCTCCTCAGGTTATCCTACCTTGCGGATAGAGAAGAACGACCTGAGAAGTGTCACTCTTTTGGAGGCGAAAGCTAAGGTGAAGGATATCGCAATATCCAGGGAGAGGATAACTCTAAAAGATGTACTCCAAGAAGGTATCTATTCTCTCAAAATCAGGTTTTCAAGGAAGATTTACTGTTAGTATAAATATTTTTTGTTTCAGATTTTAAGAATTTCATCTCATCCCTAAGGATAGAAAGCAGTGCACAATTTATTTCCTCTATAAAACTGATCTTTATTTTCCCTTTCTTTAGATTTTTAGCTTGCCTTATTAAGCTTTGGTACAATTTTGATATTCAAGTATATTAAAGCATGATTATTAGTGTTTATCACCTTTAAAAGGATGTTTCCTGTTTAGTTCTTGTCCAAAGATGATCACTTGCTCACAGGCCTTTTTGAAACATTCTAAGTAATTTTCTCTGTGATGCAAAGTGTAGGGGTTCCAGCAGAAGGAGATGCATCAGTATTGGAGTTATGCCCAAATTACGATCTCAGTCCCACAATTTATTACCTACATGATCTTAGAGAAATCATTTCCTATAGCCAGTTTCCTTGTCTGTAAATATGGGCTTATGTTTTCTATTTTAGATATGAAGATTAGATGAACTGATGTATATTAAATGAACTAACACGTGATAGGTTTTTGAGAGATAAGACCCTGCCCTTCCCTGTTTGCTGGTCCTTTTTTTCTTTTTTGAGTTTCAGGGTATTGACTGGGGACAATGCTGAAAGAAGAGGACAGAAATTAATAAAATACTTTCCTGAACTCTTCAAGTTGTTAAATAGACAGTAACTTTCCCCCCTTCCATAACTCAGTTTGAAGGGTTTTGGATGCATGTGAGTCATTCTGAATTTATCTATCAGTTAGAGATGCTCATTTGTCAGTCACTGCTAAGGGAGGGGCTTGAACTGTCCCAGAGGCAAATAGTCATTAACAGATTTTTTTTTTTTTGCATTTTTGAATGTATAAGGAGAGTCCATTTTTCTCCTTTGTCATTGCTCTGAAGCTAACCCTAGAAACTCATAAATGTCTCTATGGATAGCCCATTACTGAGCTTCAGTGCTCCTAGCTATATGGTTAGTTTGTTTAGGCTATTTCAGAATGAATTCTCATAGACAGTTTAAATTCTAAAAACAAGATGTTTTATAGTTAAAAAGAACAAAAATAAAGATTTGAGTCTTTTTATGCTAGGGCTGGAGTAATGTTGATCACATTTGGCCTTGTTATGTTTTAGGTGTATTGTGCCAGAAAGTTTTGTACTTATAATTTTATGAGCATATCATATGATCTCAGTAATTATTGTTTTTCCTTCTAGGTACTTTTGGGCGTATTTTCCATGGGATATTAGTAGATGAAAAAGATCCAAATAAAGAAAAACAAGCATTTGTGAAAACAGTTAAAGGTAAGATTTGTTCCCATCCTGTCTCCATAATGCTTTTCTAAGGTGGTTTATGCCAGTGAAATTGTTTCAGATTTTCAGAGAGCGACAGACCTTTCAATCAGTCCATGTTAATTGAGCTCATACAGCCTAACTTTTAGGAGATTTGTGTTGTTCTCATTAAGGTATAGAAAATAGAAGCTAATAGTTAAGACATTATGCATTTGTTAGATAGTACTCAAAAGTGAAAGTCACTCAGTCGTGTCCGACTCTTTGAGACCTCATGGACTATAGAGTCCATGGAACCAGGCCAGAATACTGGAGTGGATAGGCTTTCCCTTCTCCAGGGGATCTTCCCAACCCCGGGGTCTAACCCAGATCTCCTGCATTGCAGGTGGATTCTTTACCAGCTGAGTCACAAGGGAAGCCCCAGGTAGTACTCAGGCTTCCCAATTAAACTGCATCCACTTAACTTCTTTTTTCCTATATCTAATATTATGTTTTTCCTAGATTCCAATTATTTGGTTTTTCCTTCTTAAAAAACATCTCAGCACCCTCTATCCCCAGTACTGAGGAATTTTAAAGAAAAAGATAAACCACTGTACCTTATGTGAATAGCTGTTATTTGCCTTCCTCTCACTCCCGGTATCCCCTTTTGGTGCTGTTATATATAATTTGCAGAAAGTATGTGTTTGTGTGTGTTCTGTCTTGGTAGAGTTTTACAGATACAACCATAGTTAGAATTGCTGCCCCACGAGGTATTTGCTTTGAAAATTTTGATAGTCGTTGCCAGATTGTTTTCTAAAAGGTAATACTTAGTTTATATTTTCATGAACAGAACACCTATTTTCACATATTCTCCTTTTGGAGAAATGTATTGCTTAGATTTTCACTTACTGATTTATATAAAATTTTCAGTTAGAGATTCCCTATAAAAATATATTAGAATATTTTAAAATATGGTTTATTGTCTAATACTGGTAAATTAGCAAACCTTTTTATGATATTAAAATTTTAATGATTTATGATTGGTATTTGTAAAAGCTTAAAAGTCCCTTGGACTGCAAGGAGATCCAACCACTCCATCCTGAAGGATATCAGTCCTGAGTGATCATTGGAAGGACTGATGTTGAAGCTGACACTCCAATACTTTGGCCACCTGATGCAAAGAGCTGACTCATTTGAAAAGACCCTGATGTTGGGAAAGATTGAGGGCAGGAGGAGAAGGGGATGACAGAGGATGAGATGGTTGGATGGCATCACCGACTCGATGAACATGAGTTTGGGTAAACTCTGGGAGTTGGTGATGGACAGGGAGGCCTAGCGTGCTGCAGTCCATGGGGTCTCAAAAGAGTCGGACATGACTGAGCAACTGAACTGAACTAAAATAATTCTTAGTTGAGTCTATTTGCTTACTTTAAGAGAAGGAAAAAATGTAATTTAAAGTGTGCTTAATGCCTGACAGTGTCTGATGTAAGGTGAGATAACTGGAATATTTTGGAAAAACAAATTTAGCATTTCAAATGCAGAAATTGAGGGCAAAACTAAATTCAGCTTTATGAGTAGGAGGTGACAGTTTTATAAAGTTCACAACGTTAACTTATAAGAACTTAACATTTCTAAATTTACTTAAAGGAATTCTTGGAAAGTATGAAGGGCTTATGTTTATCCTTTCTAAAAAGTTGGATTGTACTAATCTAACCAAAAAAAATCTTAGGAATTTACTTTCCTTTAATTTAGCAAAATTGTTTAAGGATGCTACAAGCATAAACTTACACTTTTCTTTTCTAAACAAATGGTTTAACTTACTATGTTCAATATTTATTCATTCACTTCCCCTAACCGTAAAACACTTTAAAAAATTGATATTTAAGTTTGGTCCCACTAGGTTTTCTGACTAGTTTTGAAGGGTACTTTACATATTACTCTTTGTAAATGTAAAATTTGAGCCCTAATTTTAATAACATCTGTTTTTTGTTACACTTTCTCCACTTTTTAAAGGAAACATTTCCCCTTAATTCTGATATTTCTTGTGAGGTTCGTAAATATTCTATGGATAATTTAGAACTGAGCTGTTATTAATTTGTTCTGAATAAATGTAGAATTAACTAAAGAGGTTTTTATACAGAATTGGGTTGATTTAGGATTGGAATCGGGGAAAAAAGGAAATAATAATGATAAGAAAACACAATGCAGATACTGGGACTGTTTCACAAGATAAGATTTCTCTGTCTGTATACATTTGCATTGTAGTCACTTGCTTGTTTCTGTATCTTACCACTGTAATTACAATGTTCTCTCTGAGTTACACGGAAACCAGAGAAAGCACAGTGAGTCCTTAGCCAGGATACGGTCATGGTTTGTGTGGGAAACACGGAGGAAGTGTACTGACCACAGTATTTGCTTTAAAATTGTTAGATAGTTCCACATGATTGAGTATCACTGAGATTTATTCTTTTGGAATGTTATTTTTATTTTTTAATTGAAGCCACATAGAGCTGACAAAGTTCTCTCACAAATCTGTGCTTTGTTACATGCTGTACAATTAGAAATACAGCTAAAAATACAAAGATACTTTTTTTTTCCATTTATTTTTATTAGTTGGAGGCTCATTACTTTACAACATTGTAGTGGGTTTTGCCATACATGGACGTGAATCAGCCATGGATTTACATGTGTTCCCATCCTGATCCCCCCTCCCTCCTCCCTCCCCATCCCATCCCTCTGGGTCTTCCCATTGCACCAGCCCCGAGCACTTGTCTCATGCATCCAGCCTGGGCTGCTGATCTGTTTCACCCTAGATAATATACATGTTTCGATGCTGTTCTCTCAAAACATCCCACCCTCGCCTTCTCCCGCAGAGTCCAAAAGTCTGTTCTGTACATCTATGTCTCTTTTTCTGTTTTGCATATAGGGTTATCATTACCATCTTTCTAAATTCCATATATATGTGTTAGTATACTGTATTGGTCTTTATCTTTCTGGCTTACTTCACAAAGATCAGTGAACTTTTCTTTAGGCATAAGCACAAAATTGGGAGTTTGGCTTCTTTAAAAGTTAATAATTTTTCACAGAAACTTAATGGATATGCTAATATAAATTTCCAGAGATTGAAATTAGGAATCTGAATTTCACACAGTGAATATTGTGAAATTGAATTCCATAAAATAAATGAATTAATTTGAGGTTATTGGTATTAAGTTCTTATTTTCTTTTGTAACATCTAAGTTTTTACAAATTAGAAATAAGTAGGCTTTTTAAAAATCATTTTGTTGTTTCTTGAAACTTTTAGAATGTAAGTTATTGTGTAGTATTCTTTTCAAATACATACCTTTTGAAGTTAAACCATTCAGTATTTAAAATTAAAAGGCTAGGGCCAAACTGGGTAAAGAATCCAGGAAAATGATTTTTCTTTACTAAATGTATAAAATTATTTCCCCCCAAAGTTTTCTTAGCTCATTATCCAGCTTAGGTGTCCCTTGCTTAATAGAACATGCTTATCAAAGTTAAGCACTTGAAAAATTATGCAAAAAATGACACTGTGAAATTACTTCTTATTTTACTTGGATGTCTGTACTAGCTGGCAGGAAGATAAACTCTTACCAATTAGTTGCAGACTTCCAACTATTACTAGTTTTAAATTCTAAAAAATCCTTCCAGCCCCCAAATACTGATAGTTCTGACCATAATTTGATTAAAAATTATTTATATTACAGAAAGAGTAAAAAAGACATATCCTGCCATTTACTGAATGATCCTAAATTTTAAACAGTTTCTAAACAACTAAAATTTATTTCAACAGACATTGGGGTAAAGTGATTTTTTCCAAAATAGCAAGTGTTTCAAGTCCTTGGGTTTGTGTCTACCCATTTTGTATTCCTACAAAAGTTTTAAGTGAAGCCATCTGGAGTGATTCCATGGTTAGTCTTGGAAGTAAGTGAAATTAATAATTTCTCAGCTTTGACCACTCCACTTTTAAGGAATGAGTATGTAATCATGGTGCTTGTGTTTAGTGGTCTGGATTTTATTGATGGTTCAACATTTTCCTCGGTAGGACTGGAAGCTGGATGTTGGCTTTTCCAACCTTTGTATCTTCTCCCTCCTACTGCATTGATCATAAGATGTATAAATTATTACTACTGTTTTTTTTTTTTTACTGTTGACATACAGTGTTCGTTTCTTTGAAAGTATTTTTAACGATATACTCTTACTATTTTAAAAAACTAAAACTCATTTTCAGTTATATAAGGAAATATACTATTCACTTATTCACTTAATGGAAATGTTCTTTTCAAACAGGAAAGAAAGTCCTCTATTCTATTAAGATAGAGGAATCCTTATAGATTTGTACAGATATTTGTACAGATGGCTTTGGATTCTTTTGAAGGTGTAGATAAAGATATTAATAAATTGAATTATCATGTTTTATTTCAAAAACATTGAACTAAAAGCCAGTTTTAGTTCTGTTTGTTACCTGGAGAGAAAACCATGAGTTCAGAAGCTAAAAAGAAAATGGAATAATCCTACTAATTTTGACTAGTATATGAAAATTAAATCTTTTTCTATTAATGTAATGGTAGTTCTTTTTGTTTGTTTAGCTACACAGAGGTAAGCAGGAAACAATAAAATGAACCACAGTCTCCTGTGGTCATTCTTTTCCAGTTGTATGTTTGTAAAGTTAGAAAATTTAAACGGGACAGAAAAGTACAAAATGTAGCTCTTCCACCTCTAAAAGTAACCACCCTAAACAATTTCTTATGACTCTTTACCAGTAAGAAGAAGAACACATCCAAATATATCTAATTTTCAAAAACCATTTTTAAAAATAATTTTTATTGGAGTATAGTTGATTCACAGTGTTGTGTTAGTCTCTGCTGGGCAGCAGAGTGAGTGAGTTATCCATCCACACATGTCCACTGTTTAGATCCTTTTCCCCTGTGAGTAGGTCGTTGCGCAGTACTGATTTGAGCTCCCTGTGCCATACAGTAAGTTCTTGTTGGTTATTTTGTATGTAGTAGTGTGTGTCAGTCCGTCTCCTGGTTTATCCCTCTTTCCCTTCTCCCTGTAGTAACCATGAGTTTGTTTTCTACGTCTTTGACTCTATTTCTGTTTTGTAAAGAGGTTTATTTGTATGATTTTTTAAGATTCCACATATGACCTTATCATGTGATATTTGCCTTTCTCTGTCTGACTTAATTCACTCAGTATGACAATCTCTAGGTTCATCTTTATTGCTGAAAATGGTGTTATTTCATACTTTTTTATGGCTGAGTAATATTCCATGTATATATGTACCACATCTTCTTTATCCATTCCTGTTGATAGACATCCAAATAAATTTGATTTTGAAATATAGCTGATCACATAAACACAGTTTTTTACCTTGCTTTTAAAATTTAATGTATCTTATAAATATTCCTCTGTCAGTGCATATAAATCTGACTTTTTAAATTAAGATAGCTGCATAATGTTCTTGCATGGTACAATTTAACTAGGTCTCTGTTGATGGGTACTTTGGTTGTTTAGAGTTTTTTGCTGTTACAATTGAACAGTATTCTTGTTATGTATAGATGAGTTTTTGTGAGTAGACTTTTAGCAGTGGGATTGATGATGGTACATGGTATATGTATTTAAAAATTTTGTTAGATGTTTCTTCCTCTATCTACCCAAGATGCTGTTCATGAGCCTGTTTCCTTACACTTGCCCAAACTGGCAGGTTGCTGACTTTTCTCTCTTCCAATCTTAAGAGGAAAATTGCATCTCCTAGTTTAATTTGCGGGTGACTCAGAAGGTAAAGAATCCCCCTGCAATGCAGGTGACCCGGGTTCTATCCCTAGGTTGGGCAGATCCCCTGGAGAAGGGAATGGCTACCCACTCCCTTGAGAATTCTTGCCTTGAGAAGTTCCATGGACAGAGGAGCCTGGCGGGCTACAGTCTGTGGGGTCACAAACAGTCGGACACAACTGAGCGACTTTCACAGTTTAATTTGCATTTCTTTATTTAGGAATGAGGCAAAAAATCCTTTTTTAATTTTGCTGATTCTTTATATTTCTTTTCTAAGTAAACTGTTTATACCCTTTGCCTCTTTCTCAAATGTTTTTTCCTGTTGTATGAGCTCTAGGGGAGGTGGGGGCATTGGCCCTTTATACGCCTTATGTGTTGCAGATGTTTATCCAGTCTGTTACTTTCTCTGCTTTGTTTCTGAAACCTTATTTAATTTCAACCTTATGTAGTCAAGCTTATCCTTATTGGCATTTGTAAATATTGACCTTGTCAGTGAGATTCTGTGTACTACAGTAGAATTTTAGGCTAGACCTGTTTAGATTTACCTGCAACTTTTAATGAAAATCTACCATATGGTCTGTTATTCAGTCACTAAGTCATGTCTGACTTTTTGTGACCCCGTGGACTATAGCACATCAGGCTGCTCTGTGTACTTTCTCTTGGAGTTGGCTGCAACTCATCTCGATCAAAATTCCAGCAGGTTTTTCTCATAGAAATAGAAAAACTGATGCTAAAATTAATGTGGAAGTGTTATAGCCAGAATATTCTTGAAAGAGAACAAATTTGGAGAATTTATACTATACTTGATTTTTAGATATACTAGAAAGCTACAGTAATCAAGAAAGTGTTATATAGACTTAAGATTGATGGAACAGATTCAGTTCAGTTCAGTCGCTAAGTTGTGTGTGACACTCTAGAACACCATGAATTGCCGCACGCCAGGCTTCCCTGTCCTTCATTATCTCCCAGAGTTTGCTCAGACTCAGACGTCCCTTGGGTCAGTGATGCCATCCAACCATCTCACCCTCTGTAGCCCTCTTCTTCTCTTGCCTTTAATCTTTCCCAGCATCAGGGTCTTTTCCAGTCTGTCAGCTCTTCATATCAGGTGGCCAAAGTATTGGAGCTTCAGCTTCAGCAATAGTCCTTCCAGTGATTATTCAGAGTTAATTTCCTTTAGGATTGACTGGTTTGATCTCCTTGCAGTCCAAGAGACTCTCCAAAAGTCTTCTTCAGCACCACAATTCAAAAGCATCAGTTCTTTGGCTCTCAGCCTTCTTTGAGATAGTTCCTTACTAATATCAGAAAATATTGGTGTCATAAGTGTAATATTATCATACTATATACGACAATATTTTTTTCTTTATATACAGATCAAGCTTCTGAAATTCAGGTGACAATGATGCTCACCGAAAGTTGTAAGCTCCGAGGTCTTCATCACAGGTGAGAGGAGAAACCACTCAGCATTTAAGTGTTAAATACACTTAATATATGGTAACATAGTATGCTACATTTTTAAAAATGTTGTAATGTGTTCTTAATTGAAAGCCTTTTTGGAATAGCTTAATTTTTTTCCTGAATATAAAAATGAAATGTATGCTCATTGCACAAAATTTAAAAACATAATAAAATAAAGAGTATGTAAGCCCACATCTAGATAATTATAGCTGAGCTTTCAGGAAAGGGCTTATATTTATGTGTATATTTCCCTTTAAGAAGTAGGATAATGATATACGTATGCTAAAAAAATATTTGTTAGGAAATTTTGTGCATATAGAGCAGGGGTCCCCAGGCCTGTTAGGAACTGGGCTGCACTGCAGGAAGTGAATGGAAGGTGATCCAGCAAAGCTTCATCTCCCGCTCCTCATTGCTCGGTTTACCACCTGAATCCCCCTGCCCCCACCTCATCTGTGGGTAAATTGTCTTCCACAAATCCAGTCCCTGGTGTCAAACAGATTGGGGACCTCCAATGTAGAGTACCAAAGACCAGAATATAAACACCAATAAGCCTACAGCCTAAATTCATTGATAGTTTACATTTTGCCATTTGTGTTGTGCATGTAGATGTATAATTCATCTATTTAGATAGATATAGATAGACAGGTATTTGTGATTGTGGAAATATTTAAACTAAATTGGATATCTCAGCACTTTCAATGCATTTCCAACATGCATTTTTCCAAAACGTTGAGAATATTTTCCTACAAAATCATAACACTATTATCTTTAATAAGGTTAGCATCCTTTTTGATATAGCAAAAAAAATGTATCTAACTTTTCATGTAAGTAACTATAGATTCATATCCATATTTAAAAAGACTACTTGTAGTTCATTTAATGGATGCATCAGATTTTATTTAACCAGTCTCTTATCATTAGTTTTCAGTATGATTTTTTTTAAAGATACATATAGTTCTATTATATGAAGAAATTTTTTTAAAAGCTTGATAGCAGTCCTTTTCCAGAGCTACAACAAAATATTCTAACTTCTGAGCCAAAAAGGGCATAATTATAGTATCACATTATATAGTGGTATCAATGTCTGGGCAAGGTGTTTGTTGTTGTTTTAAAGCGCTGTACAGAGTCAGTTTAATTTGTGTGCCTACTTGAAATTTGGTCACGTATGTTTGAAAAATGGGAGGGTGACCATCCTTATTGGAAGATATTTATAGACTTCTAGGAAAAAAAAAAGTAATGTGTGCAAAAGGCATTATACATTGTAATTTCTGTGTACTTTGAGCAGTTACTTGAGTTCTGCCAAAAAATGACTATGCAGTTTTATTTTTGAATTTTATTTATAGTTCAGTTCATATTCAAAAGAATTTGAGGACCTAAAAAGGCAGCTATAGTAAGATAAAAAAAAAAGGTAATGAAAACAAAACTGAGTTTTATGGCATTTCGATGCTAGAAAAACCAACAATAAGGAGACAAAGCAACTCTTAGCTTCTGGGCAAGCAAGGCTGAAGGAAGTATTAAAATTTGTTAAATCTCAGTATTAGAAGAGAAAGAAATGTATATGTTTCCTGGTGGAGAAAAGATTTTCTGGCTTGTACTCTGAGACAGATGTCTCATTAGGTTTATCATATATTTGGGACATTGATTAAGTTAATGGACATTGAAAATAAAGCAGCCAGAGAATTTTGAAAAAATTGACCACACAGTAATGAGGGGCTAAAAATGTCCTTTTGAAGGATTAAAGTCCTGTACTTTTAAGAATATTACCTTCTGTTGGCCTGATTCACTGATTTAGTCCAAGAATAGAACTCATTTGAAGAGGAATGGATAGATAACTCATTCCTTAGATTGTATTTTCTGAAAAAAGCTACATTTTATTTCCTCTGAGTAACAAGATAAGAACTAGGTAATGATGAACTGGGAAATGTTCTTGCCAACAGTGTTGCGAGTACTTGATTTATCATGCTGACCCTCGGGGGAAGAACCAAAATGTTAAATACTGGTATATAATATTAACCTAATACTTAGGTGCTTAGCTAGTATTCTTACTCTGATGAAAGACCTGTACCGCATCAGCATGAAAGTGGGTGGCAGGGATAAAAATAGACAAAGCCAGAATTTTCTCACGAAGCAGTTTTATATCCATGGTAGCCCAAAGGTGCTTTGGCTGAAAAATGTTCAGAGCAAGCATTTGTAGCATTTTCTCAGGCATTTTAAGCTACAGGATTTTCCAGCATCCAACTAGGATGAATTAGTAGCCCCAAGATACCCTAAGGTGGTGGAATGGGGTGACTTACTGAATTAGGGTTATTTGTTACTGCACGCTAAGTGATTAGGGGAAGTCTTCTAAAGATAGGTTATGGTTTGATCCTGATTAATTGTTCTTTCCAGTCATAAAGTGATACCAGGACTCCTAGGTTTTAAATTAGCAAAACACATTGTTAATATGTAGAGCATATATGGTTCTTTCTGCTCATTGTAGGAATTTATTTCATTTATAAGGGGACTAGGGTCTACAATACATTTCTTTTTGACCCCTAATGTCTAGACTGTAAGAAAATTAGAGATACCAAGGGACTATTTCATGCAAAGATGGGTACAATAAAGGACAGAAGTGTCATGGACCTAACAGAAGCAGAAGATATTAAGAAGAGGTGGCAAGAATACACAGAAGAACTATACAAAAAAAGATCTTCATGACCTAGATAACCATGATGGTGTGATCACTCACCTCGAGCCAGACATCTTACAGTGCGAAGTCAAATGCTGAGAATGATGGGAAAACTCAGCAGTGGCCACAAAACTGGAAAAGGTCAGTTTTCATTCCAATCACAGAGAAGGACAATGCCAAAGAATGTTCAAACTACTGCACGATTGCACTCATCTCACACACTAGCAAAGTGATGCTCAAAATTCTACAAGTCAGGCGTCAACAGTACATGAACCGTGAACTTCCAGATACCCAGGCTGGATTTAGAAAAGGCAGAGGAACCAGAGATCAAATTGCCAAGATCCACTGGATCATCGAAAAAGCAAGAGAGTTCCAGAAAAACATCTGTTTCATTGATCACACCAAAGCCTTTGACTATGTAGATCACAACAAACTTGGGAAAATTCTTCAAGAGATGGGAATACCAGACCATCTGACCTACCTCGTGAGAAATCTGTATGCAGGTTAAGAAGCAACAGTTAGAAGTGGGCATGGAACAACAGATTGGTTCCAAATTGGGAAAGGAGTACGTCAAGGCTGTGTATTGTCACCCTGCTTATTTAACTTATATATAGAGTACATCAAGTGAAATACCAGGCTGGATAAAGCATAAACTGGAATCAAGATGGCTGGGAGAAATATCAATAACCTCAGATATGCAGATGGCACCACCCTTATGGCAGAAAGTGAAGAAATGAAGAGCCTCTTGATGAAAATGAAAGAGAAGAGTGAAAAAGCTGGCTTGAAACTCAAAATTCAAAAAACTAAGATCATGGCATCTGGTCCCATCACTCCATGGCAAATAGATGGAGAAACAATGGAAACAGTGACAGACTTTATTTTCTTGGACTCAAAATCACTGCAGGTGGTGACTGCAGCAATGAAATTAAAAGACTTGCGCCTTGGGAGAAAAGCTATGACCAACCTAGACAGCATATTAAAAAGCAGAGACATTACCTTGCTGTCAAAGGTCTGTCTAGAAAAGCTATGGTTTTTCCAACAGTCATGTATGTATGTGAGAGCTGGACTATAAAGAAAGCTGAGCACCAAAGGATTGTTGCTTTTGAACTATGGTATTGTAGAAGACTCCTGAGAGTCACTTGGACTGCAAAGAGATCAAATCAATTTATCCTAAAGGAAATCAGTGCTGAATATTCATTGGAAGGACTGATGCTGAGGCTGAAGCTCCAATACTTTGGCCACCTGATGTGAAGAACTGACTCATTTGAAAAGACACTGATGCTGGGAAAGACTGAAGGCAGGAGAAGGGGACGACAGAGGATGAGATGGTTGGATGACATCACCGACTTGATGGACATGAGTTTGAGCACTCCATGAGTTGGTGATGAACAGGGAATCTTGGTGTGCTGCAGTCCATAGTGTTGCAAAAGTCGGACACAACTGAGCGACTGAACTGAACTGTCTAGACTGCTCATGGCTGTATGTATGCATTTGTTTATTAATTGTTTTGTTCTCCTTTATTAAGTGCACATTTTACACTTGGAACACTGCCAGGCATGAGGGTTAAAAATGAGATAATGATCTTCAGTATTATAGAATTTATCAAGCAAACTCAATATACTCAGCAACAAATGACACCTGGTTTCTGATTTTACCTTTTTTAAAAAACTAGGTTTGTTATGTAATTCATCATGTTTACTTCATTTTTTACCTTCTATGATTAAGAGTTGTAAAGTACTGAAATACTTTAAAGCATTTTGAAATTCTTTTCACTCCTTTTTCCAGTGGAATTTTTGAGAATAATTTTTATTATAAGTTAAAATAGCTGTATAAATAAAAGATAGCTATCAGTTTACTTAAATTCCATTAGGACTGCTTTATAAAAAGTACTTGCGGTATTTTTCTTGTGGTTTGACTCTCCATTGGCCCAAGAGTGCCTGATGGTAGGCACTTTGCTGAATGCCTCACGGCTCTCACTCTGCAGGCCCACTCGGCAAGACAGAGAATTGTACTAGTTCTTGTCTCAACTCCCCCTGGAACCTACCTTTCCTTTATACCTTTCTTTTATACACCTGCTTCTGCTCCCATCCACTCTTTTTATACATCCCAGACCTTCCTCTTTGTCATCCTTCCCTTTATAAACTGGGCAAAATGAAGAGCAGCCATCTGTTCTTGGAAACATTTTTGTGCAGCTTGTTATTTCTCCTGGAGGGCTTTTAAATAAAGAATAAATGCTTTGATCTCGTCCAGCAAACTTACTGTGCTTGAGTCAGATTCCTTTAACTCTGCTCAGTGAATTACAGTCATGAGGAAAGGAGCAGAAAAATAATTTTGAAAGTTAAAGAGATTGGACAGCTCTCCACATATCTCTGAAGTCATAGCAGGTTCACTTAAACCTGAGTGCACACCTGTTCATCATTTTTCCACTTTTATTGAGAAATAATTGACATATCACTGTATAAGTTTAAAGCATACAGCATGATGGTTTGATTTATATATATTGCAAAATGATTACTGCAGTAGGTTCAGCTAACATTATCTTCTTATATAGATATAGTAAAAGGGAAAGAAAGAATAAAGAAAAAGTTTCCTCCTTGTGATGAGAGCTCTTAGGATTTGCTCTCTTAACCACGTTCCTGTACATTCTACAGCAGTGTTAGCTGTAGTCATCAGGTAGTATATTAGCTCCCTAGTACTTATAATGAGAAGTCTCTACCTTTTGGTCATCTCCCTCCAATCCTCCTGCTGCAGTCACTTTAGGATGTGTGGGACTTGGTGTGAAAAGAAGCTCAGTCTTGCTCCCCTGGTAGGGAATATCCAATGATCCAGGAAAAACAGAGTTTTAGAATCAGATGAAGACTTGAATTTTTCCTTCATGTGCTTGCTGTTGTTCTTGGCACATAACCTTATCACTTACCTCTGCATGGATTACCTCCCCTGTGAAGTGGAACTAATCATCGTTGCCACTCCCAGGCTGTAATACAAGCAGAAGCCTTACAGAGAGAGCTTACCATATTCAAGTTTACAGATCTAGTCTTCATTTTCCTGGCTCCTCAGGACCAGTGCTTTCCCTCTTGGTAGCCCCTGCACAGCGGAAGGCGGGCCCATAGCTTTCCCTTGTGCACTGCGAGGCCAAAGTTGTGTGACTGTGCTTTTAATAGATATATACTCAATTGAAATAACTTAGGAAATACAGAAAAGCAAGGTAGGAATGATCTAAAGTCTCACAACTCAGACAACAACTCTTGGCACATTTCTGTGCAGAGTTTTATTATTTATCTACTATATTTGTAATTATCCTGCAAACATGTGAGTTTTGTATCTTGCTTTCCTATAAAGTAAGCTTATTCTCATAGCATCTCTTTGTGACTGTTTTGTATACTAGCCTATTATTTGGCTGTACTTTCTTACTTTTGGACAACCGTGTTGTTTGCAACTTTTTACTAATAATCCTGCATTAACTGTCCTTGTTTATATAGCTTTATGTTAAATAATGTTTCCTTATTAATATGCTTAGAGACAATTTTCTAAGTTAAGGAGGAGAAGTTTTTTTAAGGTTGTCATTTGGTATTATTTTTCAGATGTTTATTAAATGCTTATTTCTGTGACACAGAATACAAAGCATTGGGTATTTTAAAAAGTTCACTTTGGTTTTTGCCATCTAGGAATTTTCAGCTTATTGGGGGAAATGAGGTATTAATAATTATGTAAAAATATAACTTTGGGAAAATTATTTCCAGGTATCAATGGAAGAGATGTCACTAGGCATAGGATATATGTATTTATGTCTGCCCTGGAAATTTTAAAAGGAACAAGTTTGTTTTTTTTTTTAAATTACATGCTTGGCTTTTTGCATATCACAGCAACTTTGTATGGTTGGGGGTGTTCCTCTGTTAGAGGTGTGGAAACTAAGGCCAAGAAAGATGGTCACACAGACAGTACATGGTAAATTTAGGATTTAGTAATCTCATGTGAACTGCTAAGAGTTCCTTGGCTTTATGAGATAGTTTCAGGCTCTTGATTATCATATTCTTTTCTGTAGACTGCATTGGGGCCCTTTTTTTTTTTTTTTAAGTGTTGATAATGAACCAAGTAAGCTATTATCATATGCTCATGATCAAGTAATTTTTTTGGTCTCTCTGATTACCCTTTAGAGTAACAATTTAGTGTGGCTAGAGTAGTATCTTAGAAGAATCTAGTCCACAGGAAACAACTTTTGAGTTTTTTCCCTATCAAGAAAGTGGATACATGGGAAGCATTAAAGTCTATTCTAAAAGAGCTTTATAATTTTATATTTTAAATGGTTATATGTTTTTAAATAAGTTTGAGATTTTCTTGTTTTCTTTTAGGTTATGTTTATTTTACTACTTTTAATTAAAAATAGCCCCCTGAAGTTTCAGATTTCACTTGTATTCTCCTGATTTCTTATTATTTTATAGAAATCTTCTTCCTATTACCAATGTGTGTATAGAAGAAGGAGAAAAGCCCATGGTGATATTGCCTTACATGAATTGGGGGAATCTTAAATTGTTTTTACGACAGTGCAAATTAGTAGAGGCCAATAATCCGCAGGTGAGAAAAATTTGCCCAAATACCAATTATTTGCCAGTAGCTTCTAAATAATATCTTTGAAAGTAGATGTTAACATTCTTGAATACAAACTGTTTAGAAGTATGCAAAAAGAAACTCACACTGAACCAGAAGGTGTTGCTAACCTGTCGATTTAGAGGGAGGTGGTTTGTGATTCCTGTCTTGAGGCTGGTGCTGAAGGTTTTCCCTGTGTAACTATTGTGTGTTATTCATAACCACCTCAGACCCTCTGTAACACCATTTCAGTCATTTTCCTGATAATTCGTTGAAGGTACTTGTACTAGATCTTCCCTCTAGAAATGAAAATAGACCTTACAGAGGTTGTACTCCCCCCCAAAACTGGTGATAGCCAGAGGTATACATTGTGGGGAATAATTTGATAACCAGGATTTCCAACAAGTTGTTGGAGGCTGTGCCCATCAGTATCATCTGGGGAAAAATTTCATTCCTTAACCTACAATATGGGCACACTGGCTTGAGAAAGCACATCAGAGTTAGCTGTAAACTTGCATTAGTTTGAAAATGGTCCCTAGGGGATAACCTATAAAATAACGAGTTATTGAATTATAAATATTAGAAATATTACCTGGAGAATTCAGCATTCATTGATCAGATGTTTATTGAGCCACTATTGTATATTCTAGATGTTGGGGTGATATACCTAACAGATGAGAGATAGTAAACTAAATGGTCAACAATGATGAGGACTCTAGTAGATAGAAGCTATGGGAACATATTCTTAGTCAAAAAGTAGCTTTTTGAAGCTCAGTGTGCAGGTATAAAGTATTTGGGGATGGAGTAAGATGTGGGATAAAATAAACAACGACCATCAATGTTTTTGTGCTAACCACAAGCATTGTCCTTTTCTGTTACCTCAGGCAATTTCTCAACAAGACCTGGTCCACATGGCTATTCAGATTGCCTGTGGAATGAGCTATCTGGCCAGAAGGGAAGTCATCCACAAAGACCTGGCTGCTAGGAACTGTGTGTAGGTGCCATGACTTGTCACTGTGGTTTGATGTTTAGTGCTCCCTGGATTTGGGATTCTCTTGAGGAGTCACAGTGGGAATTGTGTTGTATTTAAGAGTGACTGTGCTCCTTATTTTTTCAGTATGCTGATTGTATTTGATGTTCATGTCTTTACTTTTCAGCATTGATGACACACTTCAAGTTAAGATCACAGACAATGCCCTCTCTAGAGACTTGTTCCCCATGGACTATCATTGTTTGGGAGACAATGAAAACAGGCCGGTTCGGTGGATGGCTCTTGAAAGTCTGGTTAATAATGAGTTCTCCAGCGCTAGTGACGTGGTAAGTGCTAAGATGCCCACATAGCAACAAAATGTAGAAGAGGCTCCAAACATTTTTAGAGTGTTTTCCAATTTTTTTGATCCAGTATCTGTTCCCCCCAATTTTTTATTCAGAAAGCAAGTGTAGTTAGTTCCCTGTCAGCTGATTTGTGGAGCCGAGCTGCTACCCAAACCATGGACCATTACTGTGTGTAACCTCATTCCATCCTCACAGTAACCTGTGAGAGAGAGGTAGACACCATCCCAGTTTTAAAGGTAATGATATTGAAGATAGGCTATTTAAGTCTCAGAGTGACCAAGTGGCTGTCATATAGTACGGATTTATTGTTTTCTTTTTTTCAAATGACCTCTTCCAAGTTTTATGGCCTGTATAATTTATAATTCCCCAGATGTCACTCTCTTCCCTTTTGTCAGTGTCTAGGTGGTTCTGCTCATTCAAGGAGATCATATAGTGGGATCCTTTAAACCTAACAATGTGTAGTTTCAGAAGCCACATTTACTAGTGTGTATTTTGCAGATATTTTAATTGTTTTTAATTTCTGTCACATTTTAATTTGATTTGGAAAACTGTTTTTCTGTCTCTTGCTTACTGCGCTGTATTATTATAGCTGAATATTTAGAGATCAGGTAAAACTTCTGCTTACAAGTCCCCTGTATCAACCAGGATCTGTTAGTGTTGCATGTAAAATTTTGTATGGTAATTTGCTTCAAAGTTTCAGCTGTAAAAATCGGACTTACCATATCACTGTATCCTGGGTCTCAGCGATTTATTTTATTTATAATATAGGGTTACCCTTTTACTAAGTTTGTGTCATTTAAGGACTTCTCATTTAATACACACTTTTTTTCAGTGTACTAGTGTCCTGTGACTGCTGTTGTTAACACCTTTGGTGGTAAAACAGCAGAGATTTATTCTTTCACAATTGAATTCCAGAAGTCACATGTTTGAAATCAGGGCATAGGCAGGACCATGCTCCGTCCAGAGCCCCTAAGGGAGAAACTTTCCTTGCCTCTTCCAGCTGCTGGTGGCTGTTGGCCTTCCTTGGCTTGTGTTGCATCTCTCTGCTCCATGTTCATATCATCTTATCCTCCATGTGCTTGTCTCTCAAAACTCCCTCCACCTCTCTTACAGTGATATGTATGATGGCATTTCAGACTCACCTCAAAATCTAGAAGTTACTGCTCTCAAGGCCCTTAATTTAATCACATCTTTTGTCATATAAGGTGATATTTATAGGTTTCAGAGATCACAATATGGACATATCTTTGTTGCCACCATTCAATTCACCCCTCAGTAATTGAAGTTATTTAATATTTCCTTGTTGAAAAGCAGATATTCCAGTTTAAAACCTTTGAAATGAGAATGATTTATTTGGGGAGAAACTCTCTCTTGTTACTATAATCTTTTACTTACAATTTGTTTTTTTCGTTTTCAGAAGTTAGGTTGGCTATTAGACATATTGTGCTTTTCTGTAAACCAAGTGTCTTGATAAAATGTACTTACTTGATGTGAATGAACAATTTACATGTGTGCTTTTTAAAGGTTTTTTTTTCCCCCTGTAAATGAAGGTCTTTTATTATGCATATCTACAAAATGCTTTTTTAACTTAAGGCAGCTACACTCTGGAAAAAAAAAGCAAAACAACTTATCTGACACTTGTCAGATAGGCAGAGTAAATATGGATGATGGGGACTTCCCTGGTTGTCCAGTGGCTAAGACTCTGTGCTCCCAATGTAGGGACTCAGTTTCGATCCCTGGTCAGGGAACTAGATCCCACATGGCGAAACTAAGAGTTCGCAGTCTACAACTCAAGATCCCGCATGATGCAACTAAGACCCAGTGCAGCCAAATAAACAAAAATAAATATTAAAAAAAAAAATACGGATGATGATAAGAAGGATGTTTTCTGCTTCATGGAGCAGCTGCAAAGGATAATAGTGGATAGAAACTAGCTTCATGTTGCCACAGTCTTTGCCAGCCAGAGGCATGGGTTCTGCTGGAGAATGGATGGAAGTGGGAGAAATAAATGCTGATTCTTAGATACAGAGCCCTGAGGGTTCAGCTTGTATGCAGTGGGGAACTAGGTCTAGTCTGTTCTTCCAGAGCTGTGATAATAAAACTTCTCTAACATTAGTGTCACAAAGTTAAAATTCCAAGTAAAGCAGTACAGATACAGAAAGCAGCTTACATAATTCCGTAGTTACGTAAAGAGAGCCTGGACTTCTTTGCAGGGAAGGAGGGGTCGCTTGTTTGTTTTTTATGTTTATATTTCTCAAATGATATTTTAAAAAAGGAAGGCAGGATTTAGGCCAGCACACAGATGCTGTATTGAATGACAGTAAGGACCAGTTATACTCAAGTGCTTGTTTTTCAGGTTGCCAAACCTATGTTCCCAAGTTCTGAATAGTAGATGAAATACCAGTTTTTACACTAAGCAAAACTGTTTTCATGGGGGCGAAAATTGAGTTTAACTTTGGTATTAGAACATAATTCTAAAACATAATATCGGTTGAATTAGAGCTGTATGGTTTTCAAGTTCACCCCTGTAGTAGGAAAGCCTACATATGAACACTTTTGAATGCAGAAAAGTAAAAGAAACTTTCCTTACATTTTCTTTGAAAATATCATTCCATAGTTGATTTAAAAGATTAATTCATTCATCTCTTTCAGATGTTAATATTCTTTTCATTGGTTGATTTTAAATTTTTATGATTTTATTACTCATTGAAATATAGCATAGTTGCCTTAGAAATGAGGTGGCAGTCATGGTGAGCTCAAAACTAGTCTAACAGGCAGGAAACCCAAAGATATTTCTGAGATTATAGTCGTCAGGAATGCCATGTAACTTAAAGAGATTGGGGATTGTTTGATTATTCTCTTAGAAAAATTTTCAGAGGGGTATGCATGATGGTACTGTTTGCTTGCACAGTGAAAACCGCCAAATATGCATGCTTAACTTAATGTATCTGCTTATTTCTGTGTTTAAGTATTCCATTGTATATTTAAGCCCTATTAGGAAATTTTTTAAGGAGATATTTTTAGTAACACATTGCATATTTCACAGGAACTTCAGAGTAAAAATTAGATGATGCACTTCAACTACTGAGGTTTCAGTTAATAATACATTTCTAAGCAATATGATCTACATCTCTTCAGTCCAGTACACTGTGCTGTATTAGCTGGCAAAGCCCATGTAGAGCATACATTGCTTAGTTAAGCAAATATTTCAAAATCATACTTAGGATCAGTTATTCTTACTGTTAACGATATTTTACAAATTTTACAAGAGTTCATATATAAGAACTTGCCTTCTGTCAGTATACAGTCATATCAAATACCCTGTTACTTGATCACTTGATGGCTTTATTTTTGAAAATCACCACAGTCTTACTGGTAAGAAGCTTAACAGGAAAATTACTTTAAAATCATCTCTACTTTTAGTGTGTCTTAGCATAAACTTGAAATATCTGTGTGACCCAAGTTCTTCTGAGCAGTATTTAGAATATGATAGTGAGCATACCCGTTGATTTACATTTAACATGGTCAGATCCTAAAAGGTTCAGATTTTTTTTCTTTAGATTCTTATAATGTCATTTCTTTTAAGATAGACATATTTTTCTCTTTAATATCTTTTTCTTGGATAATTGAGATTGAAAGGAATGGGAATACCTTTCTGTTTCCTATAACTCTGATGGGACTATTTAGTGTAAAAATCCAGCCTTTCAGTTTTGTGAGATTGAATATTTTTTGAATTCTTATATTAAAGCACACGTGTTAAATTGCTTTTTAACTTTGGTATTGAAAATGTATAATGATGTATTCTGATCCCACTTTTCCTTTATGGATGGAGTTTTTTTTTTTTTTAATTTTGAAATTTTTTATTTTATATTGGCATATAGCCGTTTAATAATGTTGTGATAGTTTCAGGTAGACAGCAAAAGTACTCAGCCATACATATACATGTGTCCCTTCTCCTGGAGTTGGGATTTTAGAAAACGACATTTAGCAGTCTACTTTTGGGCTGTAAAACTTCATTCAGAGTCAAATACAAAATAAGTAATGTAACCCCATTCCCACCAAAATATGATTGCATATAAAATACCTATTTTAGCTATTAATGTAACATCTAACAAATGATACTACTGCCTTGGAAGGGACATTTTCTCTGCCCTTTAAAAGACCCTTAATATTTTTTCATTCCTTTATATTTAAAAGTTCTCCTTGGAAATACATTAATGTTTTTCATCTTAAAAATAATACATTGCATTTCTGGCTTGTGTTTTAACAGTTTTTCCTGGAAGGATTCAATATTTCACTATGTCGAGATTCTTAAAATGTTAATAAAAGCTTTTAACTGTTGAACGTAGGAAATATGCACAATTAGATTTGACTAGTTATAAATCTCTAATATTATTCTAAGATATGATGTCATCCTAACCATTCTTAAGAATTTCTGGATATTGTTTTTATTCTGTTTTCATCAGATGTGGTACTGCCATAGTTTTTTTTTTTTTGGTGACTTTCTTTTCCTTTATTTGAGAACAGATTTCTTGATTTATATCTTGAGTTATTTAGCTAATTATAGTAGCTAACATAATTCTGCTAAGAGGCTACCTTATATTAAGAGACAAATGCAATCAGGAATGCACAATTAAGAGTTTTTCATGGTAGTTTTCTTGTCATTGTGGTATTACATAGTGTTTAGAAAGTATTTTCTTGGGAAAAACAAATCAAGGAAATGATTTCCATGCTAGTCTTATCAGTGTGGTTTGTGGCAATAAGGAGATCCTTTAAGGTATTTGAACAGTTTTTTAGGGTGTAGGGCATATGAAAAGTGGGCTTCCCTGGTGGCTCAGATGGTAAAGAATCTGCCTGCAATACAAGAGACCCGACTTTGATCCCTGGGTTGGGAAGATCCTCTGGAGAAGGGAATGGCAACCACTCCAGTATTCTTGCCAGGAAAATCCCATAGCCAGAGTAGCCTGGCAGACGGGCTATGA